GTCGAGCATTTTTATAATCGAGAAATAGCAGAGAGATTAGCTCAAGTAAAAGCTCAGGCAAAATAATTGGGAACACGCAGATTGTTAATAGTGCTCGATAAAAAGTGATGCGACAAAAAACATGTTTTTTACAAATGGTGCTCGATTAAAGACAAATTACATCTAGACGCCGGGGCTCTCATGATCATCCTCGAGGTCATCATCAAGGGTACCCTCTTCTGACTCCGAAAGCTCGAGGTCTCCAGCAATCTCCGGGATGGCATTCAGCTCCTCAGGCTTAGCATCAGGCTTTGACCGAAGAAATGCTCGAGCCTCCTTAAGGCCATGGAGATATGAGCCCATTACGTAATCGCCCTTCAGCTTGTTGAAGTTCTCGGACTTCTGGAAGTCCACGATAGCTTCAGCCCGAGCTTCGGCCAACCTGCCCTCGAGGCTTTTCTTCACCCGCTCGAGCTCCATCTTCAATTCTTCTGCCTCATCTTTCACGAGGCCTAGTTCATCACGAGCCTTTCGAAGCTCGATCTTGGCCAGGTCACGCTCAGCCTCGAGGTTAGTTACTCTCGTGTCTCGGGCTTCCACTGCCTCTTGGAGCTCGACCACCTTTCGGGAATCATCCATCCCCCTGAGCAAGCCACCTCGAGCTATACTTAAAGCCTGCAAAAACATTCACCATGAGCTATGACCTCGATATAAAAAGACTAAATTTTATAATCCTCATAGTTCACCTGGAATGTAAGAGACTCGAGGTCCTTGCCGGCCTCTTCATACGCGAGCCTTTGTCGGTATTTGTCTACAGGGCCCGAAATCAAATATGGTTGTCCAGCATTCTCGACGTTCTCAGTACTCGGGGGCACGTTATCCTCATCGAGATCCACTACTGTGTGCTCTCGGGGAGAAGGAAGAGCTTGAGACGGAATAGCTCAAGGAGTGTTACCTCCAGGTGACGTGCTTCTGTGCCTCGAGGACTCTCCTGCCCCACTTCTTTTTTGTTCTGGCCTAGATGCTCAAGGCCTCTTCTTCTCCCTTTTCTGCCTCGGAGTTCGAATTTGAGGGGCCCTTGATTTGGACTGTACGGACTGTCGCAAAGCAGTTGGATCAAAAGTCATTTTTGCAAACATCAACGATATATTAAACACGAGCATATAAATAAGCAAAAAATAAAGAAAAAAGGTACAAGTCCTACCCTTGACGCCTTTAATGTCTGCACGATCGAGAACGTCATCCTCGAGGATGTCGTCCATATCAAACACCAGAGGCTCGAGATTTTCTAACATCTGCCTGTCCCTCTCTAGACATTCAAAGTATGCCTGACCCTCACAAAACCTCGATGTATCTAGAAAACCCCATCGAGATTTGAATGGAAGGTCGATATCCTGGGGAATCACGTAGAACCATTTCTCCTTCCACCCTTTTAAGGAACTCAGCATCTTCGGGATTCTAAAACCTCCCCGGGTAGAAAGGTAGGCAAAACAGGTATACTGAGGCAACTGTTTAAGGTCGAAGACCATTCTACATAGGCCGAGATATGGTGTAATGCCCAAGTATCTACAGGTGATGAAGAAATAGGCGAGCATCCTCCACCCATTTGGCACTAATTGCCCCGGGCTCATATTATGTAGGGGCCACCTAAACCCCCCTTTTAAAGAATCCCTAAAAATCACAAACTCCCCATCCCGAGCTATAGCCATCCTATCCCCTACCCCGGGCACTCGAATGTCACAGCTCGGCATTAGGCCACGTTCCCTAGCCGTCGATATGGCCAAGTGCTCCTTAAGGGTACAAGGTTGGTCGGGATATGTTAAAAGCGTCGAGTTAATTTCTGCTCGAGGTTGTGCATAAATAGGGATGGCTACAAGAATTATCGACCTACCTAAACTCTCTGGGGTTGTCCTCGACCCAAAGGATGACGATGAGTTAGATTCACTAGACATCCTACCGAAAGTGTTCTTAAAAAATAAAGCTTAAGTTCTCGATCTCTTACCTTAATATCGACGACCCAAAATCCACAAAATGCCCAAGCTCGAAGATTCTGAAAAAATCACAGAGAAGTAAAAAGGTAAGAAATGAAAAATGATTGGGGTGTTTATAGACTCCAGTGGGAAACTCAAGGGTTGTCCAACTTGGACCATTTGATTTGGACACGTGTCACTCATCGGGGCCACCAAAGTTAAATTGCCTTTCACTTTAGGGTTGATGTCATCTCTGTATTGGACCTCGAGTTTCTTCGCATGTGGGCTATTTTCACAATTGTGCATCCCACACTCGAACCTCAAGCATGGATGCACGAGGCCCAGTGATATGGTCCATCTATTTACCTCGACCTCATATTTCCCAATGACTCCCAACTTGGTCTTCAAAATATATTCGTCGGGTATGATGGAAAACATCCCGAGGATATGGAAAATATCCTCTACCTCTCTCCTAATCGTACCATGAGGTCGGGCAGTGGAGTCCTCGGTATTCAATGTCCTCATGCTTTTTACTTCAACGATACCACATCCTCCTACGAACAGTGACGTGTCACACTTGATACCCCACAAGACTTCTAGATGCAGGAGGAGTTTACTATTGTTAGACTTGTACTGATCTCACACTTGTTGTGCATGTCAAACATCCACCTCCGATAGGACTCTATGAGATAAAGATTCCCCAATTGTTCAATCCTAATAGGATCCAACCACCTAACACTATAAATACATGGTTTCAACTCATTATTCAGCTACTACTTTTATGCAATTTTCAGTTCATACCCTCACGCACATATTCTAACTTAAGCATCGGAGGGACGACGATGACACACCTCGACGCCTTTGTTTCAGGTGCTGGAAGATCACGTTCGTGCTCGCCATCAGTCGTCCAGCTCGAAATTGCTCAGGTACGATTTTTGGTAGCATCAACACCAATAAACAAAACGAAAATCTCAAAGAAATAACTAATTAAAATCAAAGCATAATCTCAACTTTTGGTTAGTGCAAACCCTAGATATAGAAATTAGTTCGTGATGGATGAAAAGGACAATCAAATTCAAAATAAAAAAACATGGAGAAGAAAAGAAATAAAAATTGGTTTGAAGCTTGAATTAATCTTATTCTAGTTGGTCCCTTTGTTCTCTTGACTGATCTATTGCTTTTTGTGTTTTAGAAGTCCCTTGTAGGTTGTATATATACTTTCCTAAGTGCTGGACAAGTTTTAGTCTAATTGGGCTTTAAAAACAGACAAAACTTTTGAAAACCCTAGCTGGACGTCGATCCTGCGTTGGGGAGCCCACTTTGGCAAAAATTCAGCACTGCACATCATTTAATATTTTATCATAACTTTGTCTCTCAATATTTAATTGAGGTGATTTAAAGTGCGTTATAAAGATAACGTAAAGGACTACACTTTACTTTGGTGCTAAATTTGCATAATTTTCCCTTATGTATGGTTAACTGATGCTATAGGAGACCTACTACTATTTTGGAATCGAGGGTGACTAAAACTTATCCGATTTTATAAATTGTTAGAGATATCATTTTCTAATTCGAATGTTTACTATGTCAAGTATGGGTCTCAACCTCCGGCTAAAAATTTGGAACATGTACGATTGAAATTTGATTTGTGAAAAATATTTTAATCATATTTCACTCTTTTTTTTTTTCTTTTTTTCTTTTTTTTAACTTCTGATTGCATCCGATTGACTCCTAGCTATCTTCAATTATTGTTTTGTAGTCTGAATCAACTATTGATAAGTTAAAATTGACTCAACAAACTTTGGATTTCACATTTTTTCATCGTTATTCGCTTCTTTCTTTCAATTTAACTTTCAAACATCGAGTTTTATCAAATCAACGTCAACTTCTCCTTAACTCATGCCAACGTCACTATTTTCTCCAAGTTTTGCACCATTCACACCAATTCACCTAACTAATAAAACAACATGAAAATAAAAGTCAAAAACGTTTCAAAACTCATAGAAATAAACTAAAATGTCAAGATTAAATGGTATCGAAAGCATGAATGAAATGCACCCATCATCTCTCCATAAAATCAATGATATTTGTTGAAAATAAGAATTGAGAGAGAGGTTGACTGTTTGATAAGAGAGTACAAATTTCAGAAGGGATTGAATTCATGCCTATTTTTAAATACAGGATGAATCCAAACGGGTAATTTAGTATTATTATTTTTTTGACGATATGTAGCAGTCATAATTAGTGAAGTTTTGACTGTATATGGTATATTTCACACAGTCATAATTAGTGAAGTTTTGACTGTATATGGTATATTTTCACATTTTATTCATCATGCTACATAATTTTCATTCAATGATTACCATGACACTTTCAAAAGGTTTTAACATTCTTATTTTAGTCCCGTTTGGTACCAATTTTTTTCAAAATACATTTTTCTTTATCTTCTTTTCAACTACACATTTTTATTAAAATAATATTACACGTAAATAAAAAACTTTTCATTATTTTTCGACCACACATTTTTCATCGATTTATAATTCTAAAAAGCATTTTTACATAAAAATGGGTATCAAACACTCTCTTACTATGTTTCAATAATGATTTTGCTGAAATAAAATAATATGTGAACACAAATAAGAGTAATTTTGCTTGTTCAACAATTTGTGCTCACATGTCATGTCTCGTGCATTCGTAGTTCATAATCAAGATCAAACTTACGATTACATATTAAAAATGCTTGCTAATGGTGGCATATGTTTACACTTGCGAGCCTAAGATGAAGTGCCATATTTATGATGATCAAAACTCCTACCACTCACTTTGACTTCGACTTTTACACAATTTCTAATTAAGTCAAGTGGATGTTCCTGCTACTGTCCTTGTAAAATAACATATGGCCATTTCGACATTGCAATGAACTTATCATACAACTGACCAAGTTAATCAAGTAAACCAATGCTAAAGAAGATTAGAAAAGTAACAACAAATCGAGTGCACAAGGAAGCAAGTATGCCATTAACAGTCCAGTCAAAAAGAAGAACAAGGAAAAAACACAAAAGCATCACTCCATATCTAGTATAAAATGTATCTATATAAATTGTAACATGCAAATGTCGATAAATTACACCCACCACTATGTTGCCTAAACCGTGTATATATATATTGGCATCTAAAACTAGAAACTTCAATGAACCATTACATTTCCCTGATAAACCTAAATTAATAAGACCTGCTAAACTTCATGACTCCCCACAGTAATATAATGTTGCACAAACCAAAATAATTTTATTGTCTGCGTAATATGCACGTGAAATTTCACGTGCAAAAAATGATTAACTTTCCCAGAGAATCTACCTGAATGATATCTGAACTTAAGCTGCAGCTGATTTTTTGACTTTGTGATCATCAAGATTCAAAGCTTGAAGCAACTTCGTCCAGGACTCGGGAATTCCTCCAGGAAGATCAAACTCCAGCAATTTTCCACGTGCACAGTAAAACTCCTCAACAGGTTGGCTCTGCAGGTTATGGCATATCAAAATACAAAATATTGGATAACCAAATAAAATTTACTATTAAACTAACTGGTTATTATAGTTTGATCTTTTTTCCAAGTTTAGAACGAGTACACTTATATATGTCAAGTAGCAACAAGAAGTCATTCAGAAATGATCAAAACATACAACAATTACTGGCAAGTCCCAAATGTTCCCTACAGCTGGCGTCCAGTTAGTCGAAGATTATTTGAAAGGTGATACAAGGTGGTGATAGATCTTTAATCTGTACATGCAAGAGAGAGAGAGAGAGAGAGACGCATCCATCAAGTTGGCGGACCTATAAATACTTCTTACACATGGTATTTAATTCAGAAACCACCATAATACTGTTGAAATTCTGCTGTACATGCAATCATCGTCTCATAAAAGTATGGTATGGTATGAAGTGAATATCAAGGAACAAAAAAAATCAATTTTTTGCTTGCACAGAAGCAGAAGTGTCAGAATTTCACCAGATGCTGATGAAAAAAAAAAAAAAAAAAAAAAAAAAATCCAAAGATATATCATTTCACATTTTATCTGGTGCAGCTAAATAATATAACGGTGTCTTCCCTTTGGCAAATCATCATAGTTTACAGGAATTTTCTCAAATGCTTTTCAATTACTTGGACGTATAATCTCTTTAAGAATGATGATTTATTAACTTTGTTTTAAATGCAGAAGGAACCAGGAAAATCTTGGCCAAAGAAAGATGAAACTAATGGGACTTTAAAAAGATGAAGAGCTTTACCTTCTCATTGTATACGAGGAGTCGTTCTTTAACTACTACTTCTGTGTCGTCAGATCGTGTTATTAATTTTGATTCACAATTTGGAGGAGGAAGTAGGGGAGGCATGTACATCCTTGGGCTTCCATCTTCGCCCTTGATGTCAATGCTCGCAACATTGTAATTCCCTCCACACTCACTGCAAATTCTTCTTCCAAGGCATTTGGCAATCAATGCTTCTTTTCGAAGTTTCAGATTAATTACCAGATCAATGTCAGTTACCCCGTCCAAGATTTCCTGCAACATAGAAACACAGGAAAAGCAGTATGCAGGAGATGAGATGAGACTGTTCTTTTGGGTAGTCAATTCAATCATAGAAAATAGAAATTGGACTCTATGAAAAAACATTTAGAAACCAAAAAAAAAAAATTCAAAATGGGGGGAAAAATAAAAAGCTGCAGATAACAATGAAACAACTTGCATTAATTTCAGAGTTTGTGTCTCAGACCAGGGTAGAATTTGGCACTGACAGGTAGCATGAACTAAATTTCTCTCACAATATATATTACTGGAAATAAATCTCTAAAACTAGTCCAAGAGTTGTCAGAAAGGAGTTTGAATTATTTTAAAGAAAAAGCCAAATATAGATAAGTTTCAATAACTAACGAGTATAAATAGTAATTTAAAACCCTCGCATCATGTAAAGTTGATTATTTTATAGTGATCATCCACCTTAAGGAGTTGGAGAGCACTAATGATCAACAAAGTTTAGTCGAGAGCACTACTGGAACATGATTGGTGGACATGAGATTCGCAAAATCAACACAGTTTAGTAGACAAAGGCTGACAACTTGGAACAGAGAGAAGATGCCACCACAGAAAAAAATATTTGTAAATTTGTTAGTGTGGGAAATTGTCATAGTGCTGACAAAATTAATGAAATTTTACCTTCTAACTACTTGACAGATCAGAAAGAACTCATCCAAGGAAAAAATAAAATAAAATAAAATAAAATAAACCATCACCATCTTTGCCTACACAATGGTTATTCTAAGAAGATGGAGCCTACAATACCATAAGCATCAATGTAGAAGAGGAAAACATATACTGCACAAACAGTAGTCTATTGAAAATATTCAACTTACTGAAATTTTTATCTTACAACCCAGATAATGTTATCATGGCTACCACTAGTTTCAATTATGCAGTTTCACTCGGATATCTATGATTCTACAAGAAATTCATCCAGCCAAGTCATCAACAAGAACTGTAGCACAATATTATTACACAAGTTTAATTGGTAAATCTTGTCAAAGTAATTTACAGATTTCTCAAATTCGCCTTCAAAAAATTTTCAGCAGGAGCTACACTTAGAAACTCAAGCATGGTATTCGGCAGGGATAGGGTATTAACTTATTCTAGTATTATCTGTTTCAAGAATCTTCAAATTTACAAAACTCGAAGTATGTATTTTCTCACTTTTTTTTTTCCTGACAAAAGAGTACAAGAGAAAATATCATTCCAAAAACCAAACGTTGTAAGGCAGAGTGAACATGAGCAAAAAGCAAGCTTAGTTTCAAAAACAAAAAGAAAACTTCGCAGTCTAAATTGTACATAAGGAAGCTTGCCGATCCGGTTCTGTAATAGAAGTTAAATTCATATGCAGTCAATCAGTAATTGTAAATCCGACCTAATAATTTGGTATTTCTACAACATAGAAAACTTAATGCTCACCGCCTGTCTTACAGTCCGAGGAAAGCCATCTAGGATAAATCCCATTTCACCCTTAGCTTGAGATTCTTCAAGATGCTTGGAAAGAAGATTTATTATAATTTCATCTGAAATTAATTTCCCTTGGTTCACAATCTCTGCAAGCTGTTGAAGAAAACAGATGGTAAATATAAGATGCGGCAAAATAGAACAGGAAATAACAAGGAAACCAAGGATGCTAATATTAGTTAATAACTTTATAGTCTACGATAACAAATCATGTGAGTCCTTAGTTGCTCCAAGTATGACTCAAGAAACAAAATTTTCAGCATGGAATTTCCACAAAATATTAGGATATGAGATTGTATCAAATGAGCACTAAAGATCGTGGAAACAAAATGATTTACATAAAGTTGCTTTGCACAAGTATTTACACATGCAAACAGAAACAAAAATGTCGAAGAAAAACTCAAATAAATACATGTGTCATCTCTCTGAAAGCTCAAGTTTAGGCATGTAAACCAGCTGCATTGCCTAAGGGGAACGCATTGCTGATGTATCCATGTACAGGAGACTGATTGATCGCCTCCTTTACCTCACTATAGCCAGACCTGATATCACATTTGCTATTCACAAGTTGAGCCAATTGGTGTCACAACCTAGGCAGCCACAACTAAATGCAGCTCATCACCTTTACAATATCTCAAGGCAAGTCCAGGGCAAGGAATTCTGTTTTCTGCAAAATGTTCATTGCAGTTGAGAGCTTTCGCAAAGGCAGAATGGGGAGTATGTCTTGATACAAGGAAATCAATCGCTGACTGTTGTGTTTTTCTTGGAGATTCTCTAATTTCTTGGAAAGCCAAGAAGCAAAATACAATATCCAGATCTTCAGCTAAAGCTGAATATAAATTTGGCTTACTCAATTACTTCATGATTTTCAGATTTCCAACAAAGATCCTGCATTGATATTTTGTGACAATCAAGCGACAATTCATATTGCTTCAAATCCTATCTTTCATGAACGTAAGCACATCGAGATCAATTGCCATTTTGTTTGAGACAAGGTGACTGATGGCTCTGTCAAATTACTACCAGTTCGTTCTCATCATCAATTAGCCGACATTTTCACAAAGGCTATACCAGCCTCTCTGATGTTTCCCCTATTATCCAAGATGGGTGTTATTAATCCTCACACTCCATCTTGAGGGGGAGTAACAGATAGAAAACTAACAGAAAGAAGGAAGAAGGTACACCACTGAAACCAGCTATCAGTTAGGCGGTTAGATTAGTTGATCAAGTCCACGTATCCATCTTGTATTGCTTTGTGCAGCTGATTTGGGTAGAGTTGGTTAGTTTGTTGGTTTCATATTCCATTTATACACAACACCTTGCAATGCACTGATTAGATTTTCTCTTCGAGGCAATACAATGGAATTCATTTTTCCTGCTTCAATTCTTTAATAATGTGCAATGCTGGAAAAAAACACATAAGTGTAATCACTATTTTATCGAACCAATCCCTAAATACATAAAGAAAACAATATATACACTCATATGCAGGACTAAACTCACTTTGTCTCAAACAAATCAAACAAATATGTATAATCTGTATACAGCAACATATATATCTATATAAGGTCCAGGTTCAAATTTTTTCCCATCAGAAGTCTAGTAACTCCACAATTTTAATATATGGGCGATGGCAAGACTTGAGCCCAGCTTTTACGTCCCGCTCTATTCCATATTACTCATCTCGTCTAAATGAGCTTCTGCATTCATTTTAATTACACAAATTCAAGAGGAAATAAAAACAACGATACCTGAGAAGAAAGGGGTCCATGAGAGGAGAGTTCTTGGCGCACAAGATCCCCAGTAGAGATATGGGGAACGCCTAGGAGGTTCGACAATCGGGCGGCATAGGTGCCTTTGCCTACACCCGGACAACCCAGGAAAACCCACTGCACATTCCTTCCCCTCCCATTGGAATTTTTAACGGGAAGAGCAGAAGAAAGAGCTGCTGCTGTTGCTGCTCTTGTAAGGTCATTCTCAGACGATTTAGTGCAGAAACTACGAACTGATGAGGCTGTTCTGTACCTCGATATTAAGCGGCTCAACACCGTCATCGATCACCAGATAAGAAAACTTCTGAGTTTATTGTTTGATCGGTTGAGAAAGAAGAGAGTTGGATTCAGTTCGAGAAGGTTGACGATGCTGGTTGTGTATGGAGTAGTGAAGGCAAAACGAGAGAGATGAAACCTGTGGGTTTGCAGAGGTTTAGCAGAATTAATTGTTCAAACGGTTACTAAACTTAGATTCATATTTTTAATCAGTCATCAAAGTTTAAAATATCGAGTTTTCATCACTAAATTTAGGTCCATATTTTTTATTACTCACTGAAATTTAATATGTTGAGTTTTGACCACTGAACTTTGAAAAATATTGTACATTACTCGCTATAAATTCGATATTTTTCAAAGTTCAGCATTTATGCTAGTAAGTAACGTATAATATTTTTCAAAGTTTAGTATCCAAAGCTCGATATTTTAAAATTTAGTAAGAAATCAAAGACGTGGACCTAAATTAAGTGATCAAAATTCGACATTTTAAATTTTAGTGATCAATTAAATACATGAACTAAGTTCAGTGACCATTGGAACAATTAACTCAGTTTAGCATCATAAGTATATTTAGAATTAAACAATGGGTGCAAAATCTATTGATCAATTAGCAAGTTATTCTTCAAAATCTAAAGTCAAATATCGATCTTTTATAAAACTAGGCTCTCTGGTCTTTTAGGTAATGTGATTTTGGATCCTTTAACCTTTAGAAGTGATATTCTTGTTCTCCAATATACTTAAATATATGAATTTATATCCCTAAACGATGAAATTTAAAATGGTTCCATATTCTAACTTAAAATGCTCAAGAAATTAAACAATGGGTGCAAAAGGATATTCTTGAGCATTAAATGTTTCGAAATTTTTGCCCTCAACTCGACATACAATTTTAACATCACATTGACAATTTCAATCACCTTTGAACTTAGAGTCATAAATTTATATCGATTGGTACTTATACCTTACTTTAAAAGGTTGTGAATTTAAAAGCATTATTAAGAAGCCTAGTGCTAATTCTCTCCTTCCACCATGTTTGTACAATCACGTGGAAGTGAAACCTAATAAAATAAATGGTTTAAATCTATGGAAAATTGCAACAGAGATCTCAAATCTTTTCAATTTTTACAGATGTTATCTTAATCTTCATTTTGTATCAACGGAGATCCCTAACTTTTCTTAAATATGCACTCGAGGTCCATATGCAATTTCGTCCTTACATGTAAGGACAACTAATGGTCAAACTTCCATTTTTTTAATTTTCTAGGTCAACTAATGGTCTTTTGGACGGATTCCGTCCATATGGACCTTTGGTGCATATTTATGAAAGGTTGGAGACCTCTGCTAGCACAAAATGAAAGTTAGAGTAAAGTCTATAAAAATTGAAAAGGTTTGGGACCTCTGTTGCAATTTTTCCTAAATCTATGCTAAGTATCCATGTTCTCACATTTTCGATGTCGTAACGCTAAACCCTGTTTAATTATGTTAAAAACTAGATTTTTAGATTTTGATAAAAATTATTAAAATATATTATTGAAAAGTTGATAAAAATTGTGAATTCAATAACACGTGTAGTTAAAAATAAATGGATAATACTAGTTGTACATAATTTTTTGTACATTAAGGTATCTATACACTCACATGAGGTGAGGTCCATTTGAATAACATATTTTAGTGTGCCCCATCCCATGTGAATACGGGACATCTTAATGTACAAAAAATTATGTACACCAAGCAAAGCCCTAAATAAATTTGAGAAACGTAGGTCAAAGAGGGGCTAAATGTTTCTTCATAACAAATATTGATGCCTAGAGATTGTACATTTTTACATATTAGGTAATAAATTAACAGAGAGTTGAGTTTACAAACTCAATGAAGTTCAAGCAAAATTTCAACTTGATCATTAAAGTGTTTTTTGACCCATATAATCACATCAGTTAAATAATATTACATAATTGATCACTTTGTTAACTCAATTAACATCATATCAGATACACGTGGCCATTGAATCTTGACATAGACTAATAATGTTATAGCATTATTGATTCCTTCCATTGGCCTTCTACTTCAGCTTTGTTGCAACCCTTTTTATATCTCATTAGTGGTGAAAATATGACCAGAGATAAAGGGAAAAGTGTACATAAAGATTTTTTGTTTTCAAGAGTCCAATTTATTTTCGACAATTGTACTTTCATGATATCGATATAAAAACTATTAGTCGATATCAAGATATAATGGGCCATATTGCATGTGAGATGAATACTGCTAATAGAGTGACAAATTATGTGAGAAAAATAAACTATAGGGTCCAAATTGGTAAAAAAATAATAATAATAATAACTTTAAGAATCAACCTAAAATTTCAATTGAACTTCAATGACCATTTACGAAATTAACGCCCAAAGCTAACATTTGGACGGTGGGACCGTGGGAGGAAAGAAGACGTCGTTGATTTGTACACCCGTGTCTTGAGGAACATATTATATTTTCCTTAGAAGCTAGGGATTAACTTATACAGAGATAATAAGCTGGGGACTAATAATTCAATTTGCTGTAATTTTGGGCATAAAACCATGTGCGCACCAAAACATTAGTAACCATAGAATTCCTACTTGGAAAATGACCAAAAGCTCGCCTAACTGATTCTTTTTAGGCGGTGCAAATTTGGGAACTTAATTAAAGATTGAACCCCAATCTTGAGGGCTCACGTCTTCCCACCTTTGGAGTATTGTGAAGGAGGTAAATTGCAGAATGTACTCTAACAGATCAGGGAACAAGAGTTTGTTCGTACATTGATACTCACAAAAAGTCCAATTTCATATCTTAAGAATTGAACATTCATACTGCGGTTGTGAGCAAAGCTGAGACTACATCATTCATGTCCTTTACACTACTGGGTTATACCCCAAGGGGCAAATTTGGGAACATAATTGTGTTTACATGAAAGCGATAACAAGAAAATAATGATAACATGCCTATTAAGTTTCAAACTTTTATGAATTTAAAGCGTAAAACGTTACTAAACTGAAAGCTCGAACTTTGAACATAAACGAAGCTTAGACGAACATTTTAGATTGCTGTTATATTTATTATTTTTTTTATTCTCATGAATTAAAAAGATTTGAAAAATGGTTGTATCAGTTTAATTAATAGCTTTAAAATGTGGCAATAAAAATATCTTAAAAACAATCTATTTACCGTTATTTTTGTTGTCACCAGAATTAAGCTTTGATTCATAAGTTTGCGCAACGATTTATAATTCACATGGAGGCCTGGGCACGGTTTGATTTGGGTTGGTTTCAACTACAACCCGAAACCAAATCCAAATTAGTCGGTTTGGGCAAATTTCAAACCAAACCAATCCCCTCTAACTCTTAAATCAAACCGAATCAAATCGGTTTGGACTTTTAGTCCAATTAATTTTTTTTTCCAAAAGAAATTGTCCGAGTTTTAAGCGCACTTAAATTACAATAACTAAAATAACCAAATAATTTAATATTATAATAACTATTGATTAACAAATAAAATCAAGTTAATAAAGACGGATCAACAGAAAACTTAAAAGTTTTATGAATTATATAGTCTGATGCTTGCATATAAAAAATGCTAAATATAACATAATAAGCTTGTGAAAGAAAATTTTCAATGCTATTACTTACCGGTAACATCATAGATTAGAGAGAATCGAGATATTGTTATGATATTAGAGTTTATTTTTTGATTTTTATTTTTCTTAAATTTAAAAAAAAAAAATGGTGAACACATAAGTGGGTTGGGTTAGTTAATCAGAAGTTTGAAACTTCAAACCATGGCTAAACCAACCTAATATGATTTTGTTTAAAAGAAAATCAAATCAAACCAATTACTTGTGTCGAACCAACCCAAACCGACCCCAAGTTGGGTCGATTTGATTGGTTTGGTCGATTTTTCAATTTTTTGGCCTAGGACTATTCACGTGTCCTAATCGACTATGCCATAAATAAGACAACTCAAGCAAGTAAATAGAATTTGTAATTTTATTGATAACATCTTGTTTTGGTATAACAGTTAGAAAGTTCATTTTGAACATTCCATCACTTATGTATCCCCTTCCTAAATACATCTTATTCTTAGACAATACAAATTTATCGGACAAAAATACAAATTTAAAATCATTCTTGCTAAATAGAGACTCGAACACTAGATTTTTCTTATGTCCGGCACATGTAGGATATTGTTGAGGATGCGTTCTTTTCCGAATGTCATCTTCAAAGTGACTTTGTTTTGTCTTTCAAACTTGGAACTTGCAACATTCCCTATGAATAGTAGTTCTTCGTTCAATGCTTGATAGTTGGAGAACATTAATTTGTTTGCACATATATGATGGGTAGCACTGGTGTCAACCCACCATTTCCTTGAATTTCCAACCATGTTGTATTCGGACACAACTGTAGATAAACTCATCTCCAGTATTCCTTGGCTTGTGCATTCTTCTTCGGCTTCCGACACTTGCTTGAATGATGTCTGGCCTTTCCACAGTTGTTGCTGTTCCATTTGAACTTCTTTGCTTTCTTGGAGTCATCTCTACATGGTGCATCACCGGAGATTTTCGTTTCTTGTTAATAGTCATTTGTTAAATTTCAACAAAGTTTGCTTCAAATTGGTCAATAGGTTTCCTTCCATTTTTCCTATCGTCTTCCTCAATTCTCAAGCGGATAATAAATTCTTCCAAATTCATCTCTTTACGTTTGTACTTGAGATAATTTTTTAAATCCCTCCACACAGGAGGGAGTTTCTCAATGATGGTAGCCACTTGAAAAGATTCGCTCAATTCCATTTTTTTGGCATGTATGTCGTGTAAGAGAACTTGAATGTCTTGCATTTAGCTTATCACAGTGTTTGAATCCATCATCTTGTAGTCCAAAAATTTACCTACGATGAACTTCTTTGTTTTGACATCCTTGGTCTTATTTTCTTTTCCAATGAATCCTACAAATCCTTGCCTGAGTTCTACAAACTATACACTCCATATAGTGTATTGTCTAATCCATTAAGGATGCAGTTTTGGCACATAAAATCGATCATAATCATTAATATGAACTGTGTGTTGAAACAAAATCGGCTAAAACATCATTTCATTCGGTTTAAAGGAACACGAAACCCA